GCTGCAAACAGGAAACCACAGTAGGGTGCTGGCTGAGGCAGGGGTGCTGCAGGCCAGCTGGGTGCCCAAGGCCCCAGGGAGCTTGCAAAGCCACAGGAAGTGTTTGATGTTCAGCTACTCTCCCTGCTCAGGCCCAGAGGAGCCGAGGAGCTGATGGCCCTCGGCCCCCTCCCTCTGGAGGCACACAGTCCGAGAGCGAACTGAAGCTGAAAGGCTCCCTCCAGGGCCCAGTTCCTGGGATGGAGGTTAGCTTAGACAGTGAGTGTCCCTGTAGCAAACACCAAGAGAGGAGTAGACGAGAATGCCGCCCACCTTCTCTCAAAAGGAATGAGACAATTTTCCCAATTCTCCAGGAAAAGTGAACGTTTTCCTGCACCTCACTTCCAGTCTCTGTCTGGGGCTTCCTTGGGGCCAGAATTTGCCGAAGAGCAGGTGATGACCCAGGTATGGGTCTAGACATCCAGCGGGTCTCATCCCTGAGCATGCATCAGAATCACTGGCCCCAGATGAAAACCCAGTCCGTCCAGTGGATTCCAATTCATATAGGGACCCTGCACCCAAGAGTCACTTGCACTGCTGGCTTTTACAGATGTCTGGGCCCCACCCACAGCGCTTCTGTTTGGGATGGGGAGGAGAAGGGCTAAGACAGCATTTTTAATAAGTCTCAGGTGATGCTGAAGCCCGCACTTGAAGAACAGCCCATTTCGTCCTTAACTGGGTGAGCTTCAAGAACAGCTGCAGCCGGGGGGGCATGCCATTTCTGGTTTAACGGGTGGGAGGTGCTCCCTGGCGGGCAGCCTGCAGGAGAAATTGGTGTAGGAACGGAGATCAGAGCTGTCTGATCTCAGAGAGCACCCGTCAGGCTGGGTAAATCTAGCTTTGTGAAACCGCACACAGATATTTATAAGTATGTGGGTCCTGCGTCATGAAATTTCATACTGTGGTTTGTGAGTTTTGGTTTGTTTTTAAGTGAACAGTGTTGCTCTAGACTCTAGAGCAACGGTTCTCAACCCGTGGGTCGAATGACCCTTTCACAGGGGTCACCTGATTCATCACAGTAGCAAAATGACAGTGATGAATTAGCCACGAAAATAATGTTATGGTTGGGGGTCACCACCACATGAGGAACTGTATGAAAGGGTCGCGGCATGAGGCAGGTTGAGAACCGCTGGGCTAGAGGCTGTGTGGCATTGTAGAACGGTAGCTCTCAGACTCCAGTGTGCAGGGATCCCCAGGGAATATGTTCAAAGTACAGCCGCCTGGGCCCCAGACCGCACCCTCGGGATCAGACCACTCAGAAGCCACTGCAGTCCTTTCCGTTAGGAGTCGGTCTTCAGTGTTCCGTGTGTCCTCGCAAGGACATGCTCTTAGCTGGGTGCTGGGTTCTGTCAATTGGATCAAATGGTGGAGGGCATGGTTCACCTCTGACATGCCTGACGGTTTTCTGTCCCGTCAATTGCCGAGAGTGTCGAAATCTCTCATTCTAAAGATGGGTTTATCCATTTCTCCTGTCACTCCCGCTTCATGTATTTTTAATTTCTCTAATTTGGTGCATACAAAGTAAGGGTTATTTTGTTGTCTTGATGTGTGGACCCTTTGGTTGTCGTGAACCATCCCTCTCTGACGCTGCTGTCTAGTAGGCGCTGGGCTGCTAACCCAGGGTCAGCAGTTCAAATCCCCCAGCAGGTCTGTGGGAGAAAGATGAGGCCGTCTACCCATGCACGCAAGCGTGGGAATGGTGATGAGGGCAACACTGTGTTGTGCAGAGGGTCGCCGCGCATCGGACCCGAACCACAGCCTACTCACGTAGATGACCTCTTTGTTGGGTCACCGAGTTGGAATAGATTCAATGGCGGCAGCTTGCGGTTTATTTTTGATGATACTCTTGGCCTTGAATTATGCTCCCTTATTAGCTTTCCTGTGGTACAGTGGTTTAGCACTGACCGGGCTGCTAATGGAAAGGTCAGCAGTTCAAACCCACCCGGTGCTCAGGGGAAGCACACAGTGGCTCTGCTCTCTTAGGGAGCAGTCTGCTCCGCACCACGGGGACCCAGACGGCGACAGGTTGGGTTTTGATGAAGGCTTTTGCTGGACCTCTCTCCTCATCTGTTCACTTTTAACCTGTTTTTAACAGTGTGTTCACTATGGGCAGCAGAGAGTTGCTTTTTATTAAGTTTGATCAGCTCTCTCAAATTCAGTCTTTCAAATCTGTGGTGCCCGCGGTGTGGGAAAGGCATGCCTGCCTTCTGTGGGGATTCCTGGAGGGCTTGGGGAGGGTGGATGACAGAGGCCTGGTCACTTCTTCAGGTTCCTCACCTGTATCATGGAGGGGGAGGGGGGCTGTGAAAACGAAGTGAGACTGCCCATTTAAGGCATTTATGGTAAGCACTGAATGAAAGAAAAGAGACAATGGCCGTAACATTATAACAATGTTGCCAATAATATGATTATGTATTAGGCATAATATTAGTAATAAAATCCATTTTCCCATGAACTTTTTGAAGTCCAGTCAAAATGTGAATACTATTACTGGTGTTACTATTATTTCACTCAACATCTGCTTCCCATTTGACTTTGAGCAAGTGCTAACTTGAAGTTTTGTTTTTTGTGTGTGTCAAGTTTTTAAAAATCTGTTTTCCTTTTTAATTTTTCAGCGATGTTCTTTGTTCTTCTACCCAGGTCTTCTCCTGACTTTAAAATTTTTGAAAGTTAAAAATTTTGTTGAAACCTATCAAACTGTATACTTAAAATGTGAGTTGAATGTATGTAAATTATATCTCAAGGAAATTGATTTTTAAAAACAACAAAAAACCCAGAAGCCATCATCAGGATTTTTGCATGCACAATATATGTACAGTTTAATAATAAAACCAGTATCCACATTCCTGCTCACCAGCTTACATGAAACAGTGCCGGGACATTCCCCGAGAACCAACCCTTCCCGTTGCACTGTGTTGAGCTTTCTGTTGCTCTTCGTGGGTCTGCCTTATGCAATTCAGTGCAGTCTTGGCCCTCTGTGAACTTTATTTAAATAGAATCCTGTTGAATGTGTGACTTGCCGTTTCTGCTCATTATTTTTAAGACTTATGTGTGTTTGTGTATGGTGGTTATTTTTACTGTGGTAGAGAATTACATTTTATAATCCATTGTTTATCCTATTTAGGGCATACAGGCTACTTGCAGACCTGGGCTTTTAAAACAATGCTTCTGAGTACTCTTGTTTCTAGTTCTCTGTTAAGGAACTGCTTAAAGTATGTTCATGTTCAATTGACTCATTAATGAATGCCACACTGGTCAAATCTTTTCCAAAGCGGGTTGTACTAGTTTACCCTTTGCTGGCAGGTTAAGAGTCCCTGCTTCTCGAGGTCCTGGCCAAGGACTTGGACACACATTCACGTCCACGTCTGACATTCTGCCACCCAAGTCCTATTACCAGCCAGCCCAGATTTGCTGCACTATGCCAGGCCTTGGACTTCCCCTTGATGTGAGCGTGTTATTTATACCCAAGAGCACACGTCTTAGTCCTTCCTCTGACCACTTTCTGTGGCCATAGCTCATCTTTTTCTTTTCCCAACCTGGGTGGAGCTGGGTCCCCCAGCCTGGCCTCACTGTTACCCCGGAACTATTTCCTTCTCAGGCTGTTATTCTCTGTCAATCCGACTCAGCCGCCCCACGTCGTGGGACCGGATCAAACACTACAGGATCCGGCGCCTTGACAACGGCTGGCTGTACATCTCCCCAAGCCTCACCTTCCCCTCACTCCAGGCGCTGGTGGATCATTACTCTGGTACGGCTCCTCCCATGGGGTGGAAGGGCAGATACTTTACCTGCTAGAAAATAAAAATGCAGGCTGAGAGCTCTGTGTTCAACCCATGCACTGGCAGAACCTCCCAGAGCTGCTGAGCCCCCCTCTTCCCATACCCCACCACCCTCGCTCTCCACTTGGGTGTGCCCAGATCTCTGCTTCTGACTCAAAAGCCCCCAGCAGGCACCCTTCTCGCCAGAGGAACAGCACAGAGCTGCTGCTGCTGCTCCTGGAGGATTCTTTTCTGAGACATCTGAGCATTTTCAAGTGCCAGTCAAGGAGCATGCAGTCTCCAGGGCACGGTGTCAGGGGTGGAGAGGAAAGGCCCACTCGAGTTCACTGGAGATCGTCCATGCAGGAGTAGCTACCACTATTAGTTGAGATTGAACACCCAGTAGCTTCCTTCTTCCCCAAGCACTTTCTATCCAGAAACCAGAGTTTGGGAAGCCCATGCTCGCCCAAAGCCACACAGTGAACTAGGCCTCCCAGAGCCTAACACAGTTATGACCTTTAACCACATCTCAGCTCCATGAGACCAACAGCTTGGGGCTCAAGTCTCGTTACCAATTTTTGTGACCATGTCCCCAAAGCTGTCAAGGTGAGAGTGGGTGTTGGGAAGCTATACAGGGCTGGCACCTGCAGTGTCAAAACCGACATGTCTTCCTCAGAGCTGGCGGATGACATCTGTTGCCCCCTGAATGAGCCATGTGCCCTGTGGAAGGCTGGCTCAGTTCCTGGCAAGGCCATACCCCCACCTGTGACTGTGCAGATGACGCCATTCAACTGGAAAGAGCTGGATAGGTAAAGTGGGCGGGAGGGGACAGGGGCTTGGAACAAGAAGTGGGAACAAAGGAGAGTTAAAAAGAGCTTCCTTTGAAAACCCAGAATGGGCCGGTCTGGTCCCCTTCAGGGACACCTAGGAGCCAGTGAGCATTGGCGAAACTCCTGACACCCAGACCAGGCTCAGCAGGTCTGTAGGACATGCCTTCAGAAGAGGAGAAAGCTGGTGTGGACACCAGGCAGGTCTAGGCACTAAGGGAACCAGATGGGAGGTGGGGCAGGCCAGGGTACCACAGTAGGAGGCCAAGTCATGCTGGGGGGTTGATGTTTCAGCAGCAGCGGTAGGTTTTGAAGCCCATGCATTTTTTGTGGCGAGTACAGAGAGGCAGCGGTTTGATACAATACTCTCCCCTTCCCTCCACAGTTCCTTCCTGTTCCAGGCCTCTGCTCCAGAGGAGGCATCCCTCCTCAGTGAGGGGCTCCGGGAGGCCCTCAGCTCCTACATCAGCATGACTGAGGGCCTTTCCTTGGAGGATGGCAAAGCTCAGAGCAGAAGTCGCAAGGGAAAGGCTACAGAACCTAGCACTCCACTGGACTCAACCTGATGGGCACTCAGAGGCAAGGCTGTGGACCACTGGGAGGGCTGGGCAAGGAGCTGGAGCTCTATCTAGGGGCTCTGGGTTCTCTACTTCTTCCTTTGACATGTTACCTCCTCCCAGTGGCCTGACCCCACCTGCAACCTCTAGTCCAGTTCAGAAAGTGAATGCAGGGCCAGGACTGAGCACAGCACCCGTGGGACCTGGCCCAGTCACTTCCTCAGTCAGGCTACATTTGGACACAGGGTAGAGATGGCTAAGAGAGCTTGGTCAGGTTCAACTGAGAAGCCACAAAGTAATAAATCGCCAGTGGGGACTGTCTGGAAAAGGGCTTGATGGGGCTTGTGAGACCCTCCATGCCCACCTAACCCCACCCCTAACCACACCTTCAGACCAAGCTCACTGTCAGGCCAACCCTCCTCTAAGTGCTGAGAGGATGCCTGTGTGCAGAGATCTTGCTAAAGGTTATGGGATATTTGAGAATGGTACGTTCCCCTGCCCCCACCAAGGCCAAGGCTGCAGCTAAACGAAGTGGAGTCCTTGCCCTGGTCCCCATAAAGGAAGGAGCCGTGGCCGAAGTTGCTACGGGAGCAGGAGGAGAAAGGAAGGGAGGGGAGGTGGGCATCACCTCCAGTGTTCCTACTAGGCTCCGAGGTTTAGCTTGGGGGACGGGGGAGGCATTTAACAGGTTTTCAAAGATTTGATTTATTCAAGTGTGTGAAAACATTCTACAAAGGGAACTGTTAAGATGCTGTTTGTACTTGCTGTGGACCACATAGACACTGGCTGCCATGCTGTTTTCAGAAGACTTGAAATGCCACTAATCATATACGAACTGTACACCCGATGGAGCACTAGGAAGACAATTTAATGTGTCATCCAGATCCAGAGACGCATTAAAATAAACCACCAGCTCCAATCTGAAAGTGGGTGTTTAGTGATGGGTATCCACGAAGCAGTGGCTGGCAATTCAGGGATGCTTCCCCAACAGGCAGGTGGTTCTATTAAAAGTTTCTGGTCATGACCCTTGCGGAAGACGGCAACGCCCAACACTGATTCTTGGTCCAGAGAACCTGGGGCTTCTAGGCTTCGCAGGCTGCAGTGCCTCTATAACCATGTCTCTGTGCTGGACTGGACAGGGAGCAGACGGGGGCTGCAGACCATCAGTCATAGTGGATGGCAGTGTAAAAGATGATCCAAATGACCTAGAAGAGAAGATGAGCAAAGTTCACAGGTCACATGCATCTATGGTGGCTGCCTCAGGCCTGATTCCACAAAAACAGTAAAAAAATGTACACACAGTGAGCTAACCAGTATACAATTTGCTTAGAGGTCTAAATTATTTCACGGAAAACTGAAATAGCTTCTCCCATCCCCATCAGTCTGAGGTGGTTCAGGTAATGCAGACTGTATTGCTAACAGCTGTTAGGATTACCAGCACACGTGGAAGCAAAAAACATCAGACTCATTTCCAAATCAATAAAGTAGCCGTTCTCGACCCTGGTTGTCCATTGGAATCTCCTGAGGAGTCACAGGGGGGACCTTGGGATAGTCTACGTAAGGAAGTCTGTGCACGCTTTTTAAAAAACACGAGTCTCCCGAAGAATCAACGTGTTTACATGCCCAAGCCCAACGTTCCAGAGATTGACTGCCCCGCACTCTCTCCAGGGTAGGGTGGCAGGGTGGCCTAGGGACAGTCTATATAGAGACGCCTATATACTTTTTTAAATAAAAATAACTATTGGTAAAATCACACCATTGTTTCCTCCTTTAAGTGTATAATGCAGTGGTTTTAGAGTACTGTACAGGCATCACTAATTCCATCGTATTTCATCACCTTGTCTCCATTCAGTCACTCTGCATTCTTCCTAGGTACTAGCAACCACGTATCGGTCTCTCTGGACCTGTCGATTCTGGACATGTTTTAATGAACCCAGAGTACAGGGGTCTGGTTTCTTCTAGTATGGTTTAGACAAAGCCTAGGTTCCCAAACATATTTGCCCCACTGCTCCCTTTTCAAAGTGAAAATTACTCAGCATCTACCTAGCAATTAAAACCTTTGGTACTATAGCCAGGGTAGAGTGGAGGTATCTGTTTCTGTAGTGCCCCCCCCAGGAGCAGTATCAACTACTTTGGGAAATTAAGTTTCTGAGGTTCATGTTGCAACATGAACCAGCATTTCATTTTTCTCCCCAGTGGCAGAATAACATCCCGTTGTATGGCTCTGCCATACTTTATCCATTCATCCATCACCTGAGAGACATTTGGGTTGCTTCTGCTTTGTGGCTATTGTGACTAACGCTGCTATGAACATACTTGAACACGTCAACGTCTTGTTACAAAATTATAAAAAACCTTTGTTATACTAAACACGAGCATCAAAATATGAAGCTGTTTCTCCACATATGCCTGTAAGCTTCTGAAGGCAGCGTTTCCATCTCTCTGTCCCTTCTCCAAAGAGTTCTGTCTCGACGTACACACATCCCAGACATCTGTGTTCTTTAAAAATGTTTTACTTTTAGAAACTACAGAGTCTGAAGGGGCAGTATCAGGGCTGGAGTGGGAGTAGTGGGGGGGGATAGTTTCCCAGTGCAAGTCTTATAGGACAGGCCTTGCTTTAACTTTTCCTCACCAATTCAGTTTTCCATTTTCTTTAGACTCCTAACAAGCCCCTGTAATCATCCTGTGTTCGTCAAGAAAAGCTATCTAATCGCCCTTTGGAATCTGAAACTCAACAGCTGCCATCATGATCTGAGCTGACCTCTCTGCCTTGAAAGTAAATGGCCCAGCAGATGCCCTGAGCCACTGTTTGATTTGATCTCGCTGTTTTCCTGAGAGACCCTGCCTGCGGCGTCCACTGACTGCAGAGGAAGGCTTAACCGTGTTCGTCTGCCATAGACCTGGGCATGTTTGTGACCGTACTGGCAACACGTTCTGACTTCACCTCGCAGTTGTCAGTGCTTCACAGCTGCTGCTAGCACACAGGCGGCATGGGCAATCGAACGTGAAAGCTAGCAATGGGCCAAGGACATCACGTGGAAGCTGGAACTCATATCACTTTTTTTTTTCCTTTTTAAATAACAGGAGACCATGCCTCAGAAGCCCTTTGAACAAACAGTCCTCCAATCACAGGGCTAACTCAGTGAACGGCACTTCGTGACCAGAATAGTGCCTGCTGCAAAGCAATCAACCACACATACCATGAACAAGGCAAAAGATGTCATAAAGCCTTCTTTCGTGAGCTCCCATGTGCCACCGTATTCTTCCTCATCGATCTGCAGGTAGTTGCTGAAGTAGAGGTACAGGACTCCTGCATTGATCAGGCAGAATCTGGAGTGAGGGAGGGCAAGCGCCAAAAACACACTGTAAACTTAGAACACTCTGCACTCCCACCCCGTCCCAAAGGTAACTGTTCTGTATGTGTCTCCCTTCCCTGGCAGGGCACGGCCTAGAAAGAAAGCAGCTTGGGGCTCAGACAGATCTGCACTCAAACCTGAACTTTACTTTGTGGTCATGAGACCATGGGCAAGTCTCTTACAATGGGTCTTGGTTTCCTCATCTATAAAATGAGGTGCTTGAATATGACTACGGGGCAAGTGAAACAATGCATGAAAATGCCTAGGCTCTCAATGGAGGTGACCATCTGGTTGAGTGAGCCACTTAAAGAAAGGAGTAGCCATTCTTTTTATTGCCCAACAAGGTATTAAAAAAAACAAACCCAGCATACAGAACCCCTCTAGGCCCCTATGAAGTAAGACGGAGCGGCTGCTGAGTAACCTATTCCACACTGGATCAGCACAGTGGCTCCAGCTAGGGCGGGTGGAGGTGGCCAACGGGCAAACACACCAAGCCGCAGTTCCCTAGCCTAGCTGAATAAGCAAGAGTGCACTAAATGCTCCCCTGCAGAACCCCCACCCCTATTGGGAGGGAAGCCTCTGACTATCTGCCTTCCTGTGCTTAATGTGGAGGGCAACTCACCCACCGCATGGCCTCAGCTGACTGATTTATGGGCAGGCCCAGGAAGGTGTTTAATCCATAGAAAGTCAGCATGCACTCCGCTGTGCTCCACTCTTGGCATGGTCCAAATGTAAAATTCCCATAAAACAATCAAGCTCTTCCTTGTGACCATTTCAATTATTGCATCTAATTTAATGGGGGCCAGGGGACCTCAGGCCATGTCCTTGTAGAGCAGGGCAGTACCCTGAGGCTAAGGAGTATAAATCAGTTCTCAGGGGGAGTGGGGAAAACCTGAGCAGGGTGGGTATGGAGGCGGGGAGTCCAGCTTGGGAGTCCTGAGAGTGCAGTACAGTCTTTCTCATGGGTAGTAGGAACAGAGGCCAGAAAACATATTTAACTTGTACTTGGTTTCAGGACATGAGAGCAATAAAGGTTGTGGGCAGTGACTGGGCAAGTGGCTAAACAGGGGAGGTAATGGTCAAGTCTCAGAGCCTGGGAGTGTACCTGGCTCCAGTAACAAAGCCGAGAGTTAGGAAGAACAGAGTTTTGGGGGGAAGGATATTCCACAAAACAGAGCCCTTGGCTTGGTCATGCCCTGGGTACACCCTTATCTTCTACCAGAAACTTGGGACCAGCTAAATCTGGCAATTTCCTTTTGGATAGTGGTTCTAAATAGACATTACTAGTGGAATTGAAAAATGTCATTCTGGGGCCCACAGGTAGTTAGGGCCATGGGGGATGCAGGAGTCTCCACTTGTAAGAGTGCTTGCTTAGTGAGGTCAGACAAGGGAGCAGAGATGATCAGAGAGAGAAAGCTGAATGTAGGACAAACGGCTAAGTCTGGACCAAGCCCTCACAAAACCAAAGAGAACCAGTTTGGGGCCATGACCCTAAAACTATGGGTTTGGATGGATTACTAAAAGCCAGCCTGCAAGGCTCTACTAAGCACAAGGCCTGGGAACACTGGGGCTGCTACATCACTAGCTCTGGTGCTCAGTCATCATCACGTGGCCCCCACCTTTTTGTGGTTCCACCAGCTAAACACGAGCTATGGTGCACTTTTTCCCTAACCACAAACGCTCTTGCTCAGGATCACCATGTCATCAAGTCTTGACTTAAAAAAGAGAAACGGGGGTAGCAATAATCCAACCCAAGAACAACCCAGCCACCTACTTCCCATCAAGTGTAGTGCTCAGGACTTGGGAGAAAAGGGCTGACATCAGGCCCGTCTTTCGGGTTACACAACTAAGGAGAATATGAGCTGACATCAACAAAGACATCTGAATCCAATGCTGGGTGGTCAGGGGCTAGGTGGACCATAGGGCTCAAACTGGGTTTTAAGGACAGATGTGATGTTAGTTTGTCAGCTTGTGTAGTCTATGGTCCAGTTGTTTGTGCTGGCACTGCTGTGAAGGTACAATGTACTGATTATAAATAAAGGAGGCCCCCAACTCTCTGACATAGATGTGGCTCAGAGAATTCTGCTCAAAAAAACAATGGTTCGCCTGCCAGAGGACATTCCAGCCCCCCATCTGGCCTACCAATTTTGGACTCAAGACTGCTCCCAAAATTACGTGAGTCAATTCCTTAAAATAAATCTCTTTTGACAAAATAATAATTTATAAATTATCAAGTGTTCATGAGGGAGGGGGCAGAGGGAGGGGAAAAATGAGGAGCTGATACCAAGGGCTCAAGTAGAAAGCAAGTGTTTTGAAAATGATGATGGCAACAAATGCACAAATATGCTTGACACAATGGATGGATGTATGGATTGTGATGAGTTGTATGAGCCCCCAACAAAACAATTTTAAATAAATAAACCTCTTTTGCTAGAGATATTATTGGTAGTTGTTGTCAGATCACTTTGGACTTGCGTGTGCACAGAACTGCTCCTTCCAGAAGCAGACTGCCAAGCCTATCTCCTGAGGTGGTGCTGGGTGGGACAAACCACCAACCTTGTGCTAGCAGTCCAGAGCTTAACCGTTTGTGCCAGGCCAGGACTCCTCGGGCTCACACAAGCCTTCTTTGTCTGTTTCCTCCCACTGGTTCTGTTTCTCTAGAAACCCTAAGACTAGGATGGACAGAATTTCTAGATTGTAAAAGAGGGAGGGAATCACACAGCAAAGGAGTACAGGCAGAAATGAATGTGCTGGATTGGAGCTGGGGAAAGAACAATGATTCTCAAATGGAGTTTTGAAAATTTGATCCTAAAAAACTTCAATCAGAATCTTAATAAACAATGAATCCCCAAGAAATGTTCTGTTTCGAGGCAGGAAAGCTACATGCCAACAGTCACATATGACTCTGTTTTCAAGGGGCAAAGGGAATTCATTTCAGTTTAAAGGGACGTGTGCAGAAAAACCAATGCTACTGGGGCCCTCTAAGCAATGGGAGAGGTGCCAGCCAAAGGAAGCAGGGAACTTGCTCAGAAAGACCCGCTTTGGCAGAACAGTGGGAGACAGAACTCTAGCAAATAGGCAGCCAAGAGAAAGAGGCGCTATGGCTGGCCTACTCCACACTGCATCACTCTTGACACAGGTAACTGTCTACTGAGGCAGTGAACCATTTTGTATGAAATGCTACATTTGGTTATTTATATGTACTTGTAGTATTTCCTTCATCCACACATCAATCTTGTGGGGAAGACATGCTCGCTGCCTCCACCTTTTAGCCTCTGTCTGAAACTGAGACTCGGAAAGGTGAGCTCACAATGATAAGGACTTCAAAGTGGCAGAACTGGAACTTAAATCTGGTGTGCATGATGAAGTACTTTGCTTCAAGTGTTTGGGAAAATTACCTCACCGGCCACAGTGGAAAGGATACCAGACTAGATTTAGATCTTGCTATTTCATTCCCAGGATTATGCAGCTAAACCCCTGAGAATTGAAGAACCCCAGATCAGGTAAGCGGGGTGGTGAGGTGGTGGTGGGGCTCTGAATCAATGTTCCCCTTCTCCTAGACAAGAGGTCTTGGGGGGAGGGGGGTGTCCTCCCTCGTCCTCGGCACTTTCCTGCTTCTACAATGCCCATCAGCAGCTTGTCTTTTCTCCTTATCACACATCAGAACCCTTTTTAGTTGGGGGGGGGGGCGTGTACATTTCTTTTGGGTTACTGTGATAGTTAGGGTTTTTGTGCAACATGGCACTTGTAAGAATATATGGGTGGAGCTTAGTCTGTTAACCAGGTCCCAGCTTGATGACCTCCTTCGGAGGTGCCACTGAGATAAATGGCTCTCTGGAGGCTGCCTCTGCCGCCCTTCTCCCTTCACCTTCCTACTGGTGAGCCTCTCCAAGACCTGCCATAACCCTGTGATTAACAGCACCCATGGATCCACACGACTTTGCACCCACCAGCCTGTGATCTTCCTGCATCATTGCATGTGGCTTTGTGAGCCTGAAAGGGGACTTATGGACTTGAGTTGGACTGGGCTGGGACGTTTTTCTGATATATCAAGCTTCCTGATATAAAGCTCTTTCTCACATCTTATATGAGTACCACTGAATCTGTCTCTGGTCAACCTGGCCTAACAGTTAACCTTTTGAAAAAACAGGCAACCCAAGGGGGGTTGAAAACTATTTTATCTCTCTCTCTAGAGTGATGATACGTGTAATCAGGCCTAACACAATCAATCAGCCTGCCTGTCCATGTCCACTTGAATTTAAGATAATCCCAACACACGCTTTTAATTCCACCTGGTCGCACAGATGCTCTACCAGTGAGCCATGACCAACGTTGATGTCCACTGTGCCCACGTACCCTAAATGCAAAGGAAAACGTGGAAGGCTCAATCTTCTGCCATTTGACTGCCTCTAAAAAAAGTAGGGGCCTATCCCAATTTGTGACAAAGACAAAGATTCTGCACGTCAGCGTAGTGCTAAGTACAAGAAGGTGATCATCAAGTGTAAAAGGTCATCTGCTTCCCAACTTGCACAGGTAGAAAGGATGGTCACACCAGAACCAGGGACCCACCACCAACCAACCAGAAGGTGAAGGTGGTGGCCTCTCGCATGAGGCCACTCTTAAGTTTGTGACACAATGGCCTGCCTTCAGGAAGGCAAGCTGTGTGTCATGCTCCTGGGTCGGATGTACCATCGAGTGCTGCACCAGACCCAGGAGTGCCATCAGGGGAGTGGGGGTGGAGGGGGGTGTATATGTTGGGGGGGTCCTCTGTTTTACTCATTCCATAAAAGTCCCCCAAAGTAGCAGCAGACCTTTTCCATGAGAGGAAAACAATGTCTCTCTTTGGAAGGAAATCATACCACGGGCATGCAAGAAACTCAGGACCAACTTACCCTGCAATTCCCAAGAAACCTCGCAATGGCAACACTCCCCAAATGACACCCAGGACCAGAGCAATGATCTGCCGGAACCAGTAGATGACATCTAAAAATTCATCCTGTAAAAAAGGCGGGTAAAGCCATTTAATGTACCAGGCTTCACGCTCTGGAATGGGAGCTACAGGAGAGCCTCACTGAACAGCTAAGGAATAAACAAGCTTTCTGACAAACACATTGTCCAGGGAACTTGCCCCCGAAGCAAGGGTGTATGTGGCACTTTTCAAATGGGATCACAGTAGTCTTGAGTTAGAAGGGGGAGGAGAATGGATTCGTTTGTTCCTTAAGCTCCTGCAATGCATCGTCTCTTATTTATATGAGGCTGTGGTAGGAAACAATGCATTTAGTCAACTCAAGCAATGGCTTCCAGGGGCTGTGCTCTGAATCCAAATTTTAAAAAAATCATTTTTTTAAAAGATGGTGAATAAGTGAAATTGCTTAGGTGCCTATAGTAGCAATTATAGTATAATCAGTGATAACTCTCACCTGACTTGGAGAGACCTAGACAATGTCCCCAAGCCACTCAGCACCATGTTCCTGGTCACTGAATTTTGTGTCAGTCACCACAGAAAGGATAAGAAACAAAACTGCTGGAGGCAGGTACAACCTCTCTAAATGTCATAGGGCACAGAAGATTCTGGTGTTGCACTTGCCCTGGATTTCAGAAGCCAGTCCTTATACAACGAAATGACACAGCATATCAGAAAGAGCAGATTTAGCAAGAGCTGGTGAGGGTGGGGTGGGGCTGGGCTGGGTGGGGTTGGGGGCAGGGCAAGGGCACCTTCAGGCGCAGGTTCCCATGCCCCTTCCTGGCACGCCAGGAAGGCATATGGACTTCAGCAGGTTAGAAAAGCAAACCTTGCTATCAGCCCCTTTCTGATGGTCCCTTGCCGATCAGAGTTGGGGAGCCCCCGCACCAGAAACCCCGACCTCTCACATACACACACTGGAGTTCCCCAACGTGGTCTCAGTGCCCCCTCTCAAAATCAGGGAATTGGATCTTTTTCATGCAACAACAGGGCTACGGAACCTCACCACTAGTGACCTTCATTAGGTGCGTGTTTTAACCACCACTCTACCTGGCGGAAGAGCCGCGAGAGTCGGCGCAGGAGATCACCTGCCACGCATAAAGCACTCGGGTTTGTCATCTACCGTCGGTGCTAACGACTGAGGGAAGTAAGGAGACAGGGTGCTGCCTTGGAGAGGCTAAGTACGCTGCTCAGAATCGGACTGGGATTAAAGGCGGCGGCAGGGCAATTCCGCTCCCTCACTCTGCGTTCAGACAGGCGCCCTGCCACGGGTGACAACTCCTCTGTCCCCTTCTTGCCGCCCCCGCGAGACTCAGGCGACCTCACCCCTAAAACGTCGCTCTGCAATGAGCCCCCAGCCCTGTCAGCCACCTGCTCGGTCCCCCAACACTCGGCCGCCCCGGGGAGGGGCCGGGGGCAGGCCTGGGCCCGTCCATGCATCCCCCGGTCCACGCCGACTCCTCGAGCCTGCGCCCTCGCCAGGCCCACCGCACCTTGTCCTCCCAGGCCGCGTCGCTCCGCAGCACTTTGCTCCACACGGACACTTTGAGGGCCCCGTTGGCCAACTGCGGCTGAGGCGGCTCCTCCTTCCGCCGCCCGCCGCTCATCCTCCCACCGCGCCGCCCGTGTCGGGCCTGGGGCGCGCGGGCCGAGCCACAGAGAGTCGGGGTCCGGAATCGCAGGTGGCGGCGAGAGGGGCGGCGGCGGAGGCGACGGGCTCAGCGGCCGGGCCGGCGGCGCTCTGCAGCGGCTCCCACTTCTCCAAGTCTCCCGGCTCGGCTCGCTCGGCCGAGACCAGGCGGTGAGGGGAGGGGCCCCGCACTATACGTCATCCCGCCCAGGTGCCCACGCAGCCAATCGACGTCCGCGCCGCCGTCCTACTGCGAGCACCGCGGTCGCCTAGGCGCAAGCGCTCTACGCACGTCGGAGGTGACGACGAGCTTCCGCCAGTCGCGCGGTACGGCGAGTGGGAAGAGCCGTTCTTCATGAGGACCTCGAGACCACCGCGAGGGGGCGCTGTGGAGACGAGGAACGGCACGTGAGGTGAAGTCTGTCGCGGGCGCTGCAGCGTCCTTTCTGTTCGCCTCGGCTTTTCCCCTTCAACACTGGGGCTCACGGTGGGGCGATTCGGCCACTTGCTAATGTGTTGCGTGCAGTTTCCCGGGAGCCCCAAGCTGCCCCTCGGGATTTAGCGCTTGCTCGTTTTCTCCCCTTTAACCTGCGCGTCCCAGGACCTGGTTCAGGACGTGACTCTTCTCTGGAATCGTTGACTAGCGTCTCATCTTGCCTAGCACCCTCTTTGGAATTGGGAACCCTACACCCAGAGAGGGGAAGTCATTTTCTAAGGCGATAGAGCACGTTGGGCGCGCGGAGAACGCCTAGAGGGGAAGGGGAAGGGGGAAAGGACTCGGGTGAGGAGCGCGCCCTGTGCCTTGGTCCGCGCTGGCCGGCGGCTCCGAAGGCGGCTCCCAGGCCCGCAGGAATGTCAGACCTCCGGAGTACGGAGAGCTAGGAATGGGGCCCGACCATCTACTGTGTTTGAACAACCCCCCCCACCCCCCCGCTGGTGCCTAAATCCGTGTCACGTAATACATACACCCCGTGACCTTGGGGGGGGGTGTTGTTTGTTTTACGTTTTGTGGTGAATTGGGTGAAGGTTTACAGAGCAGATTAGTTTTGCGTCCTGCAAATCAGTTCATGCATATTTCGTTTCGTGTCACTGATTGCAGTCCCCACGGAGTATCGTCGCATATCTCACCTCCTCCTGGTGTTTACTGTCTCCATTCGGCCCTCTTCCCTAACGTATCTGAACTTTGTTCTTGGGTGAAGACTGCCCTTTTGATCTCAAAGGGTTAATTAAAGCCTAGTGTAATTGTTCACCTGGTGGACCCGTGTTCTCTTGAGCTTTACACAACTCCTGTGCAGTGGACTTGTAGAGGCAAAGTACCCCGCCCCCCGACTCTGAACCCTAAGCAGTCAGTCTTGGAAACCCCAGGGGGTCGCCGTGAGTCAGCATTGACTAGATGGCAGTGAGAACATACCTGTAAAGTTCTCCACCTTTGAGGAGCACCTGAGTCTCCCAGGGAATATAGCACTGAGGAAACAAGTAACTATCCTCTAGTTCTTTAATAAGATTTCCTCCCTCTACTATTATGATCTTTGTGTTACCTCATTAATCTTGTTAGACTTGCATATGTTCATTTGTATAATTAAGTTCTTGTTTGATGTATGAAAGCCGATAGATAACCCTTCAGAAACAGTAATGTGAATGATTTCCTGAGGGTATGGGAAGAGAGGGGGTGAGGGGGAGCTGATAGCAATAATGACTGGATAACCCCACTCCAGGGAAATGAACAACAGAATTATAGGTGAATGGATACATTGAATGGTATAAGATACACCAAAAAAAAAAAAGGATAGTAGTAATGTATAATATAAGGGTTCCTGGCTGGTAGGGTGGGGGAGGTAGGGGATAAAGGGGAGGTGATATCAAAGAGTTCAAGGAAAAAAATGTTTTGAAACTGATGGTGGCAAGCAATTATACAATTATGCTTGATCAAATTGATTTGTGGATTGTTATAATATCTGTAAGAGCTCCCAATAAAATGATTTTTTTTTAAATCTCCCAGGGAGCTTTTCAGAATTCCATAGTTGGTCTTCAATTTTAACTGCACCCCAAGATCCTGCTTCGTGAGCAGGGCTGGAGATACGCTATTTTCTGGAAGGGCCACTTATGTGAGATGGATGCACACCTTTAGACCTAACTTTCATGTGGCTCTTGTCCTTTTCAGCCCTGCCTCTTTTCTGAGCCAGTTTTCCCAAATACAAAACTATGGTGATGTCTAAACAACTCACTCGTTTGAAGTGCTCTATCCAGAGGTCCAAGATCTCTTTCACAGACCCAGCAGAGTAGCCTGGACCACTATTGGTGGCATAGTGGTCACACATAACTGACCACTATCAGTGGCATAGTGGTCACGTGTTCGGCTGCCACTGGCCAAGTCTGCAGTTGGAAAGCACAGACATTTCTCCGGAGAAAGAAGGCGCCTTCTATTCCTGTTAAGAGTTACAGTCTCCAATAAATAAATAAGTAAAGTAAGTAAGTTACAGTCTCACAAACCCACAGGAGTTCTACCCTGTCCTGTCACCACGAGACAGAATTACCTCAATGGCAGTGAGGTTCAGGGTGTGACCCTAGGGTTTCCAAGACGAAATCTTTACAGGAGCAGAAAGCCTCATGATTCTCCTCAGGTGCGGCTTGAGGGTGAGGACTTCCTATTAGCAGCAGCCTAATGTGTAACCACTACACCACCATTGTCAAAAACAGAAAAAGTAGTTTACATCAGGGCTTTGAGCTGGTTCTTCCTGGTTCAGTCATGGTCTACGAAGCAAAACTGGGATTGTACAGATCTAGATTTGCAAAATGCGGGTTCCTGGAATAGTAACTGAATGGAAATAATTATAGTAAATGTCCTACTAGAAATCTCCCTCTTAGAAATCAAGCCCAGCATGTTTGTTGCATAGCAACCAAATCTCTTGCCTGGCCCTGGTTTTCACTCTGCTGTGCTTGGAGGTGAAGAAGTGGCAGTAAAAAGAAGTGGGAGAGGAAGGACAGAGAGAATTCCCAGAGAAGAAACTTTGTAGGTTAATAGTAAAGAAAGAAGCTTTCTTTTAAGTAGGGGGAAAAGGCATACTGAAATTTACTTTTTTATCCCCAGGTCTCAGGAAGCCACTAAAATTTTTTTGATCCGGGGAAATAAATCAGGTTTGCATCTTAGTCATTTACGTCTTACTACTATTTGGGGGGCAGAGATCTGAGTGGGGAACTCCTTAAAAGTGATTAAAGTCATCCAGGGGATAACTGATGGGGGCATAGGAGGAGGAGCAAATTGTGTTAAAAGGGAGTTAACTCCCTATATATCATACAAGTATTCTATTATGTGGCTCTTCCCTGAACTTCAAGATTCACTGAGTTTGTGGTAGTATTGGGGGGCGGGGGGGGGGCGGTGAGGGGAAGACCACACGAAGTTAGTTGAAGAATCCTAAAAGCCAGCAATCTAGCCCCCAGCCCAAGATCAAACAAGTTAGAGGTTCCACAGCCATCTGGAATCTGATATGATTGGTGCTCTTCCCCTTAGCATTCCAAGAGCCCACAAAGCCAAGTTGGAAGTCAGAGTGGAAAACCCTTTGTTGTTCTAAGTGCCCTCCAGTCAGTACCAACTCAAGGGACCTTATATTCCACAGAAGGCAGCACTGCTGGTCTTGCGCCTCCATGTAATCTTTGCTATGTTTGAGCCCGCTAATGCAGCCACTATGTCAGTCCATCTTGTGGTGGGTCAGCTTTTTTGCTGACCCTCTACCAAGCAAGATCCCCTTCTTGGGGACAGAGAAGTTTTACTTACCATTCTTACTTTTTCTTTTTTAACCATTCTTACTTCTAAGGAATATTCTGACTCTACTCCTTCTTCCTAGATGGATTTGTCCGTGCTTTTAGCAGTCCATGGTATAGTTAATATTCTTTGAAAACATAATTCAGAGGCTTCTGCCCTTGTCTCCTTTATTCATTGCCCATCTTCCACAGAGATGAGGCTATTGAAAATACCATGCTTTGGGTGGGGTACACTTTAGCCCTTTACTGAAGTTGTTCCCTTTCTGCTTCCACCCAAGGTTTTGCTTGTGTGGGGATGTGGAGAACCCGTCTGAATCCCATTGCATTTGTCTGGTTAGAATAAACATTCTGGGTGCTCTGAGATGGACAAGAACTTGGTTATGAGTGAGATTTGGAAGCGGGAGAGGCAGATTTGGAACTAGAAAGCATTTTGCCTTTGAGAGTTTTGGGGGTTTCCAGAACCACAAGTCTCAGCCTTGGGGCTGTTTCCTCCCAGCTGAATGCTTCGGGAACCACTGCACAGCTGCTGGTTGTTGGCGGTCAGTAGGAAGGTGTGGCCACCGCAGACGTGGATGGATTATAAAATCAGGACGTCTTGGAAGGCACCACCTGCAGTGGAAAGAGCACCTATTGCAATGTTTTCACTTTTGCTTTGTCCACAGAAATGCTTTATTATCACCTAGTGTTTACTTTTAAAGCTGGCTGGGCTCTTAACCATTATACCAAAGTCCTCTCCTTTGTACAGTTTTCCTATATACGCAAGTATAAGCCGAGTTTTTCAGCCCATTTTTAAAATTTGACTAGTGGTAACCAGAATTGGGAGGACCAGGGCAAGTCACTAAGAAGGAAGGTATTTTTATTTATGGCAACGGGAAACTCGATGGCGATTGGGGTGGTTGTACAACATTAATGTAATTACCACTAAATAGCACAAGTGAAAAAACACCGAATTGGCACATTGTTCACACCAACTAAAAACAATGTCACGAAGGCTAGAGTTGAGCTTCAGGCTGCCAAGCATTTCTGGAGGTCAGAAACACCTGGCTCAGGGAAGCTCCTTTGGCAGCGCCCTTCTTCCTGACTCGGGAAGGTGAGCTTTAGCCCACCACTGTCCTGGTGATAATCAGCTTCCTGACCCAGTAGCATCAGAACCTCCTGTGGCAACAGTGAATGCTAGATTTACAGAATCACTCGGCATGGGGCCTGTAAGTTCCATTTTGGTTAATTTTGCTTGATTATGTTAATACAGATTTGAGAACCACTGTTCTGGGTACTTAGTGCCTGTGCTGAGTTTCAAAATCTGCATGGTATGGGGCAAATTATCACATAATCGGTGGTGATTGTTTTCGTTCAGAAAACACTGGTAGGGCCAAGTAGGTCAGGTGATAACAGCATGCGTTATTCTACTTTATCCAAGAGGTATTACAATTCCCACCATATTGATAAGGCAGCAAGCGGGTTTCCAGGGGCAAGCTGACTTGTGTTTGGTTACAATAGGTAGTTGACACAATTTGAATTCAGCATTTTCTGTCACTAGGGCTTTGAAAAATCACTAACATGGAGTACAAGGATCATTATTTCCCATCTCTCCAGGATACTAGTGTTCTCTACAGCTTTAGTACCCAAGAAAGGGAGGCTCCGTTCAAAGGCAGGCAGGCCCGTCCCTGCCCTCTGGGAGCTCTCACTTGAGTGTGACAACTGGGAGTGAAACTTTTCTTCTAGGTTGAGGTGGAACCAAGTTTCCTGGTGGAGAAATCTACTCTCAAGCAGCAGTGGGTTAGATAAGCCTTCCCTCATCACCCCACTTCCATCACTAACACCACTATTTCCTGATCTTAGGACTGGATATGGGGGCCAGGGGAACACATACTTACCCTGGCTCCCATTAGATACCAGACTAGGGGTAAAGAATGGTGGGGCAGTCCTGGCACTGTGGTTAAAACACTCAGTTTGAACCCACCAGCTGCTCTGCAGGACAAAGGCTGGCTGCTTCTGTAAGAGGATTTTGGAAAGCCTATGGTATTGGTCTGTTATATATAGTTCACTATGATTCTTAAGGCAGGAAAGCTAAAATGTTTTGACAGGTATAAGAGTATATCTAAAAGCGATTTCCTAAATGTCCTAGATTCTGTCCCAGCTTCAGCTGGGTCATGGCCACATGACTCCACAGCCAGCTTTCATCACCTAGTGTTTACTCACTGCAGGGCCCACCAACTAGGTGCTTGATGCATTAACTTCTTGTTTCAATTCTTTGAAAAGTAGACTAAAATAACCTTTCTCATAGGCAGTTGAACCACCCAAGTCACTTCCCCTTTTAGAAACTCCTTATGTAAAAATACTGAACAGTAGATGGTGAACTAATACCAATTAAAATAGTCTGGCCAGGCAGGCCTTAATAGCCTTAAAGACAGACACTTGGGCAAGTAAGCCTTTTAATTACCTTTAGTTTCTTGTCTATAAAATGAGAACTTCCAAGGGCTGAAGCAGAAAGAAAATGTTTTGAAAATGGCAACCTATGTACAAACGAGTTTGATACAATTGACGTATGGACTGTTATAAGAGCTATTTAAGAGCCCCCAATAAAATGATTTTTTTAAAAAAGTTTCTGTGTACACATACAAACACTTAGAAAACCCCAAGAGGTAATGAACGTTCACTACTGTTGCGGACCTTGATTGGCACCATTTGGCTGATGGAAATGCAATTCATAACTAGCTTAAGCAAAAAAGGGGAATTTGTGATCTTAAGTAATAGGGAACTCCCGAGGAGGTACTGTTTTTAGACATGACTGAAGCACCCATCTCATCAATGCTGACTCCACACTACGGTCATGCTCTCGCCTTGTTGCAGGGTGGAGGGTAAATGAACCAGTTTCCTAGAACCACCTCCTTTCCCCTTTTGCTAATCCCATAGCTTGACTTTGGCTGTTGCTTCCAAGGAATTCTGACCAATCCAACTTGGGACACGGAACCCTGCACACATTGGGAATAGGGGCACAAGGTATACAAAACTCCCAGTTTAGGCCACTAGAGGGAGGGTGGGAAGAGCCAGAGGCCCTGCACAAACTCAGCAACTGCCTGCCCTCTCTCCAGGCCTGGGCCAGACTGAGTTGTAGCCAAGAATCACCTTACTTACTCTTAAAACAAAACCAAACAAACAAAAAAAACAAACTTTATTTGACAAAAGACAATAACAGAAGTTATTTACAGTAGTTTTTTGCTCAGATAATTCAATGGGACAACTGTGCTTTTCCTCGTGTCTGTCTTACAACCAAGCCCAACAGGGGCTGCCCCACCCCCAGCCACCCCATTTCACACCTGGGGGAATGCCAACCAGAATTCAGCAGCATGGTCTCCCCCACTCTTCACCATCTCTGTTGCGCAGTTAACTGTGGGATGGGAAAAATCTCACCTCAAACACTTCCCTAGTCCCCTGCTACAACACAAGCTCCCGGCAGCAGTCACATCAGATTTAGGCTCACAGATGTGGGTGGGGTGGAAGAGACCAGGCCAGCAACAGCTTCCTCTAAGCCTGAAGCTGCCCTGCTCACTCTTCCCCAGCTGGGTCCCAGCAGGGTGAGGCTCCTTATCCCCAAGGAGAGGGCAGAAGGAAGAGCTGGTGGGGGGAGGGCAGCAGGGAAATTATCCATCAGAAAACTTTTCTGGAGTAAGTAGCCCCCACTCCCACAGCAATAGGTGGTATGGGGGAGCCACCCTGGTTCCAGGGGTCTTCTCAGAAAGGACATGCTCCTAGCCAGACCCACACACGTCTGTCAAAACGCAGGACCCCTCCCTGCTCCTCCTTGACCTCAATAACTGACCTCAGAAATGCTAGTCCCGGGTTTCCTGGCTTCTCTCTCCACCCAACAACAATGCTATTCTGAATAAGGCTGTTTAGGCTAAATAATCACCTAGGATTAGTGTTTCTTAGGGAATATAAGGATGGGGTATATTGCCATTGAACACTGTCTGCTATGAAACAGTAAGATAAAAAACGAGGTTTTGGGGGGGGGGAATGACCATCTGTTTTACTGTGAAGTGGAGGGAGGGGGGCGGACCCCACCCTCTGGCATTCCAACGTACAGTGAAGGTGCAACACAAGGAGAGGGAGCAGGCGAATAGCCTGCGGACAGCCCTGGGCTTCTCCAAAGGCCACTCTGCTCAGGCAGCTGGGGGCGTGTCACCAGCTTCCTCCAGGAATCATTTTGAATCACCATTGTGGGAAAGGCGGCCTGTTTGAGGCAGAACAGATCCCTGGCGGCCACTAGATGGCTCACTTCTCTCCAAGTAGGAGCAGTGGGAATTTTTTGACATTTGGGCCCCAGCTAAAGCAAGTTCCTATAAAAGAACTTACAACTCGGGCTGCAGGGCAAAGCCAAACAGGAATAAAGAAACAGAGGAAAATATGAGAGAGAAAAACAACAACAAAAACTCTCGCTGCTTCAATCTAGCTTACTCCCCACCCCCGCCCACCCCAAATATAATAAAACAAAAATTAAAAACCACCAGCTATCTGGTTTGATCACCCTCCTCTGCTCTGTGACTAGGAGGTTTGGTCAGATTCTCTGGAGGACCCTCTACCATGGCTGTGAGAGAGGAGCCACAGGCCATAAGGTTGTCTTCCTTTTTTGGTAAACCAAACCAGCAACACAGGAACCACCATTTGGAATTTTCCCACTACTTCGGGGCTTTAGCTGGTCCCAAAATAAAAGCCTGCTCTGCCTTGGGAAACAAATCCGAGTTCCAGTGGTGGTTCATTCCCAGTTCATCAGACTCCATCAGCAACAAACCCTCTTGCCCCGCACCTGAGCTAACTACTTCCATTAAGGCAGACCACAGCAAAAGGGGAATGAAAGAGGTTAGCGAGAAAACCACACATTCAACTGGAGTCGGTTCTGTTACACCTGCTGAGTTCTTTTCTTTTGTTCACGCTTAGGAACTTGGAATGTCCACACTTGACTTAAAAAGGTCCCCGCTCAGGGACCACCGGAACCGGCAGCGGTGTGAACTTGGTGGGTTTCCTGAGTCCAGCCGTGGGAACCAGGCTGGCACAAAGGGAACCGGGGAGTCTCTGGAGAAGCAGCAGCAGCACCTTGCCCGTCTCCGATCCCCTGTGAGGAGATCCTCCCCTGTGAGGAGGGGCCTGGAGAGGGGACAGAAGTCAGTGGAGGAGAGGGCCCCATCACAGTGCAGTGACGCCCCTCGGCGTGTTCCTGCTGAAGACCTCTGGACAGTCCTGATGTTTGGCAGTGATGCATAGAAAACCCTCTGCGTGACAGGGGACCCAAACGGAAAACCCAGGACAACTCGCTCGAGCCTCCAGCAGCCCTGGTGGCAGATGCCTACTTGGGGGTTCCAGACACCAGAGGGAGCGGGGGGTGCAGTAAGGGCAGTGCCGGGTCCTGCTGCTTCTGAAGCTCCATCTCAGCGGCCCTCTGCAGCGCCACCTCCACCAGTAACTGGAAGCTGCTGAAGTCCTCCTTGTCCTGCTCTGGGGGAGTGGGTGGCGGCGTGTTGAAGAGTCCACCTGTGGGGCTCCCGGCCTCTGCCCGGGTGAGCAGGGTGAGCGTGCTTCCAGGGGTCACCAAGGACTTGGGGGGCTCCAGCTCCCCCTGTGAAAAGGTAGCTGCTGGATTCTCCCCCTGGCCCGAGTGGAGGGGCATGGGGCACACAGAGAGAGAGAGCACGCTGGTGGGGGCTGGGACGGACACAGCCATCACCGAAGGGCTGCTGCCCCGGGGGAGGGCCACGTCTGAGGCCTTGCCCCCACGGCGGGAAATGGTGAACTGGTTAGGGTCTTTGCCATCCTTCCGAAGCATGTCTGGGAGAAGCCGCCGTCGGGCATTGATGAACCAGTTACATATCTGGAACGGACATAAGAGATTGCCATCAGTTCATTAATTTGAAAATAGACATGTGACACCCTACTATTTTGTAGGCCCCACAAACAGAATGACAGATGTAGTCACGACCCCAGCCCTCAAGAAAGGTTCATGGTGGGAAGAGGCAGTTAAACAAGAAACCACACAAGTGAATGTCACACAACAACTGTGATTTGCCAGTGCAGGGAAGGTACACGGTGCGGTTACAGTTAACAGGGACCCAGTCTGGCTTTTGTGGAAAGTATCCTCGGAAGAAAAACATCTGAAATCGAGCACTGAAGAGTATCAAGAAGGAAGAGCATTTGCTTCAGGGCAGCGACTCTCAACCTGTGGGTCGTGACCCCTCTGGGGGTCAAATGACCTCTCACAAGGGTCGCCTAAGACCATCGGAAAACACAGATTTCCAGTGGTTTTAGGAACTGAGACACTGCTCCTCTATCTGTCTCCAGGTGGGTCCACCCACATGCAGACAAGCCCACATATGAATACACAGTGTGAAGACTGTTACCCATGCCACACCATGCTTCAAGGCAAAACTTCATTTATTTGTCATTAGAAATAAATATTTCACAATATATAATCACATATTGTTTTTGTGATTCATCACTATGCTTTAATTATGTTCAATCTGTAACAATGAAAATACATCCTGCCTATATTTCCATTACGATTCATAACAGCAGCAAAATTAGTTATGAAGTAGCAACAAAAATAATTTTATGGTATGGATTGTGATAAGAGTTGTATGAGCCCCCAATAAAATGATTAAAATAATAGTAATAATATGGTTGGGGGTCACCACAGCATGAGGAACTGTATTAAAGGGTCACGGCACTAGCAAGGTTGAGAACCACTGCTCTAGAGGCCCGCTGGAAGGTGATCGGTGGCAGAGAAGGGTGGATAGTGTGGCTGGAGCAAGGATTTGGTGCTTTATTCTAAGGGCGGTGGGAAGCCACAGGAGGGTTTTGCTATGTGGAGAACAGTGGAAGTGGGGAGCTGGGTTACTAGTTTAGATCATGTTAAGGAAGAGGACAAACGTATGATCGCTTGAGAAATGGAGCAGAATCATCCAGTGGGTGGATGAAGTAAGAGAGAGAGGATGAGTCACTCCTAAGGTTGGAGCAGAGGTTGACTGCAGGCCAGAGACTCAAAAGGCACAAGGGGGCTGTCGTTTAGAAGACAAATCACTCTAGTTTCTAAGCAAAACCCCATCCAGTGGGACCAGGTGAACAGGGACTCAGCCAGCACCCTTCAAGTCTTTCCCCCTGTGATGCTGAGCGCAACACTAGGCCGGCCCTGCTCTGGTGGAGCTGATGGCTTCATCTTCCGGGGCCTACTCGTAAAGAATGGGATTTCTCCCTGGTACAGTGGCATGTGCTGCGAAGCCCAGACATCTCTGCGTTGGAAGAATGAGTTAGAAGTCAGACATTCTTCTGGAACTTGCTGTCTGGTTGCAGGGGGGCGGGCAGAAGGGGAGACATAGCTAACACCCTACTCCATCTGTCTGGACTTCAAACAGCCTTCAGCTTCATGGCTCTCCACTCCACCCTCATCACTGACTGCCAGTTCTCTACAGTGTAAATGACTGTCAGTCCTGTTCTAGAAAACTGCCATTTGTCCCCACCACTGGTAGGATCCAGTCCAGAGTCTGCAACCTGCTGTCATGGCCTCCATTTCCAGCCATGCAGACACTGTCTTCCCACTTTCCATCCACCAGCAGTTCGAACTGCATCCACTCATTCCAGCGCTTGCTTTGTCTTTCACAAAATGGTCCAAGCCTGTGAACTGTGCATTCCTTCTTTCTGGAATGTCCTCCCCATGTGGGAAATGCCTACCACTCCAAGCCGAGGCTGGCCCAAGGTATTGGACATAGGGCCTGGTATGGTCGCTTTCCTACCTGGATGGATAAAGGGTAGACGGCAGTTCAGGAAGAACGTGAATACAGTCTCTGCACATCAGAGTGCAACAGGCACCTCATCTTGGCATCATTCTTATCCATCTAAAAGCATCAACCGTTCCCACCTGCTTTTCCTCCCAGAAACGTGACAAGATCAACTTTATAGTAACCCATTCCGGCACTATTGAGAAATAGTTAGGGATTAAATTAGGAAAGTTTCTCAGCTGCATCGCTGATTTAAGTGTACAAATCTAAAACCTGTTTTAAAGCTCAATTCTTAGATGAACCTATAGCGACTGGTAAAATAAGGATTCCTGTGGGGGAGGCGGGAAGGAGAGCTGATAAAAGGAGTTTAAGAACGAAGAAAAAAGTTTTGAAACTGACTGTGGTAGCAATTGTACAATACTGCTTGATGTGACTGAAATGTGGAATGATATATTAGCTCTCAATAAAATGTGGGGTTTTTTAGGGGGGAAGAGGATCAATTCTTTTGCTAAATAACCAAAACCAAGCTCACTGCCACCAAGTAGATTCTGGCTCACAGTGACCCTATAGACAGAAGAACTGCTCCTATGGATTTCAGAGACTCGTAACTCCGTAAAAAGCCTTGTCTTTCTCCCTCAGAGAGGCTGGCGGGAACTGCGGACCTTGTGACTGGCAGCCTAATGAGTAACCACGACGCCAACAGGGCTTCTCTTGCTAATAGGCAAACACAGCCTTCTATAATCTTTTCTGGGCTGTCTCCCTCCAATCGCTCTTGCCAACTCAGATGCCACCAGGAGAGGAAACATTAGAAATTGAGTGTACATGTGGGAGCAGAAGATGGCATGGTACCCATAACCCTTCCCATCTTTCTGGGCACATTCCCTGCAGAAGAGTTCGCCAGAAGCTACCATTTACGAGTGAAGGAGCCCTGGTTAAGTTTGGGGTAGTCCCAACCCACCAGCTACTCTGAGGAAAAAAGATGAGGCTGTTTGCTCCTGTAAAGATTTAATAGTCTCAGGAAACCCTATATAGTGTCTCCCTGAGTACAGCCTTAGAAAGCAGACAGGAAGGTTCTACTCTGCCCATAAGGTGGCTATGAGCTAGTGAGTCACTGGCGACAGGTCTGGTTTGGGACATCAAGGAGGAGCCCAAGGGGTGCAGTGGTTAAGCACTTTGGCTGCTAACCAAAGGTCAGTGATTTGAGCCACCAGCCTCTTAACAGGAGAAAGATACTGCAATCTATTTCTGTAAAGAAAACAGCCATAGACACTATAGGACAGCACTGCTTTGTTCTATCAGGTGGCTTTGAATTGGAATTCACTCCATGGTAAGTGGTTTGGGATGTTTACAAAATTTTCTTCTACTAATCATACCAGCCTTAGGAATTTGACCATCTCGAATATCACTGATGAACACACCGAAGCTTTTTAGCCTGATGAACTCAGCTGGAGCCCACTTCCAGCCAGCTATCTCCAAGCCTGGGTCGGTAGTCATTCCTCTCTGCACCTTTTTCTGTGGATGTGTTCAACTGGACTTTTTTCAGAAGGGCAGTCAAATTAGCACTTCTTAGCCTTCCCTTTGGCTCTCTTTGTAAGGCTTCCTGTTCATTCAGGCTGTATTTATTGCGCGTGCACTACGGTCAGGCCCAGTTCTATCTTGGTAATGGGGGTGAAGCTTTTGAGAATTAAACATATAATCACCCTGCCTGTGGAGTGGAGTCTCCAGTGCATCTTGTCAGAGATGGACAAAAACAAATAGAAGTGCCAAGGAAGACAGGAACAAAGGAGAGGCATATAAGGACAAGAGAGAATGCCACCCCTAGACCTAAAGGGTAAAAAAGATCAGCTATAGCACCCACATCTTCGGCTGCGCAGGAAGTTTCTGGAAGAGGAATATTTTAGGTAGAGGAACAGGAAGTGCCAAGTTCCTGAAGCAGAAGTGAGATGCCTTAAAGAACTGACAGAGGGAGAATGGTCGGTGTGAGCGCAGATGTGGGCAGAGCTGGTCCTGCTAGGCTAGAACACCATGGCAAATGCTTCAGGAGTCTGTAAGAGGGTTGAACAGTGCCCACAAAACTCATGTCCACCCAGAACCTCAAGAATATGTCACTGGAGGTGGTAGTGCGAAATGGAGACCCAAAGCCCATTTGTAGGCCACTGGACATCCCTTTACAGAAGGATCTCAGGGAGATGAGCCAGTCAAGGTGTGAAGTAGCAATGATGAAAAATACAACTTTCCTCTAGTTCCTAAATGCTTCTTCCCTCCACCCCCCTCTCCACTATCATGATCCGAATTCTACCTTGCAAGTCTGGCTAGACCAGAGGATCTACATTGGTACAGATAGGAACTGGAAACAGGGAATCCAGGGAGGATGATCCCTTCAGGACCAGTGGTATGAGTGGCGATACTGGGAGGGTAGAGGAGGGTGGGGTGGAAAGGGGGAACCGATTACAAGGATCTACATGTGACCTCCTCCCTGAGAGACGAACAGAAAAGTGGGTGAAGGGAGATGTTGGACAGGGCAAGAATGGCAAAATACCAATTTATAAACTATCAAGGGTTCATGAGGGAGGGGAAAAATGAGGAGCTGATGCCAGGGGCTTAAGTGGAGAGCAAATGTTTTGAGAATGATGAGGGCAATGAATGTACAAATGCATTTTACACAATTGATGTACGTATGGAGTGTGCTAAGAGTTGTATGAGCCCCTAATAAAACGATTAAAAAAAAGAATATGTCACTGGAAACAGTGTCTTTGCAGATGTGATTAGTGAAGATGAAATCTTACTAGATTAGGGCAGCTATTAGCTTCAGTGACTGATGGCCTCCTAAGAGGCCACGCTGAGGTACACACACGGAAGAGACAGCTACGTTAAGACATGGAAAAGATTAGAATAGTGCAGTTATAAAATGCAGAAGGGGATTGGGATAACAGTTGTATGAGCCCCTAATAAAATGTTAAAAAATATATATATATAAAAAAATAAAATAAAACTATTAAAAAAAAAAAAAAGGCAGAAGGATTTTTTTCCTCCTTCAGAGAAGCATGGCCCTGATGAGACCTTGGTTTGGCACTTCTAGGATTCAGTTGTGAAAAAATGT